GATAGATAGATAGATAGATAGATAGATAGATAGATAGATAGATAGATAGATTTTTAAAGAAATATTACGTTAACAGTTGTAGTTGTTGATGGTTTTATTTCCAGAAAAAAATGAGCATTTTAATATGTAATGACCCTGATACATAATTTTTCCACTTTTAACTAGAAAACTGACAAAGTAAGTAGATTTGGTCTCCTTGCTCCTCTTTACCCGTCGCTAGTTTAACTAGTAAATTGTTCAGGCGACACGTCGAGCGCGAGAAAAGGCGTGCACGCTCAAACCTGGCAACCCACAATCCACGTAGTCGATTCGTCATTTCCGAAGTCCAAGAATGGGGTTCGCTCGTTTCGTCAGCCTGTTCCTCCCGCCGACATACTATAGCCTCTAGTATTTGTCTGTATCAGCTGTCATGACAACTTTTACTTCAAGTAGAAAAAACAAAACAAAACCACAACTTTAAAGCAAGTGTTTTTAAAACTGTAGCTTTTCCACTGTGTAGTGTCCAAGCGAGTAAGAGGACGTTTGGTGGGGGGAGGGAAACACAGTGACCGACTGAGGCGAGCGGAGCAGCATATTTTACCAAAATGGCAACCCCCTATGTTACAGATGAATCTGGTAAGGCTGCTGCATGTGGGACACATTTGTTTAATTGAAACTGAATCTTCTTATACAAACATAACCACAAWATCAGATCAGATTAGCCTTCTCAATTTTAAGCAGTTATTGTTGCTGATTTAAGAACGCACAGATAGTTTTACTGTTAGCCGACATGCTAATATTATACCATCCACTGTTGTTAATTCAGCTCAATGCTGTCGCGCTGAATGAGTTACTGTTAGATAATAAAAACAAAGTTTGATATAGAACCCACTGCTGCGAGGACCACACATCTATTGTCACCTGTGTGACTTTGCAGTGTGTGGATTTTTAATGAACTATCAGCGCAAATAAATAGCATTTGCTATGTTAGCCTGCTAGCATAACTTAGCTTAGGGCTAATTGTAGAAAGAGATGTCCTGCAGTATAGACAAGACAATTATTCAGATTTATCTGTAAAAAAGCTCAAATAAGCCGTATTTTAAGTGTTTGGGTTCTATATATACACATTCTTAATAAACCTAAAATATTAAATAATAACTGAAGTTGCAACTAAGCTTAGGGTTTAACTGTGACATTACAGACATTAAAGTACTGTGTGAATATACAGTACTATACTAATGTGTGGATGTCACAGACTTTTCAGCTTCAGTTCTCTTTTTCTTGTGTCCAAATGCACAGAACGCTTGGTGTAATAATAAACAGAGATCTAATTGTTAAAAGTACCATCAGGTATATAAATAGTTTTTGACTTCATTTGGTTTCAGAATCATTTTAGAAGTTAAAGAGTTTGTATTAACAGTTGTTTTCAATAAATTAGGAGTAGGTTGGGTTATTGTTATTCTGAAATCAGCTGCAGCCCATTATTCTCACAGACAGGAAATTCAGACACATTACACCTGTTGTGCTGGCACACTTATATTTCTTGTATCTGAAGCAATAGATGACCTCACAGCACAATAAATAAAAGACACATTAGGTAGTTCTAATCAGACTGTGGGAACATGACTGAAACTCAGAATCAGGGGAAGCAGCCTTATGCATTTGTGTCCCTAATGAAATCGTGCCCCACTGTAAACATGTTTGTTTTTATTGTGTATGCATTTTGTTTTTCCATTGTTACCGTGTAAAACTATGTCTACAAATATATTTAAAAAAAATCTTTTTTTGTCGTTTTAGGTTCTTAAAGGAAAGCATATTGGGTTGCTTTTTGATAGAAATCTGCTTTATAAATCAGGTCTGACTTGACTAAAAGGTATCAAGAAAAAACAAAAACAAAACAAAAGCCAGTTTAGGAAAAATCTTGAATCTTTTTGTAATTTCATTTATCAGTAATGTAGACGTTCTTGCCATCTAGTGGTGTGGATTGGGGCTGTTGGTCAGATTTGTGTGGACAATATTTTTACTATAGAAGGAGAATAAATTATCGGTTTGTAAAAATATCCAGAGTTGTATAGATGAAGCTTCAATCACGTATAAATTATCCTGAAGTCAAACAGCTAAACTGACATCATTTTGACTAACAGAAAATTAATTGTTTAACACATTGAGGTAGTTCAATTACATGTATGCACAGTTAACTTTCCTAACCTGCTCAGTGGATGTGTTATCAAGTACAACACACACTCRGGCCCAGGAAATTAACAGAAATTTCCTGATTTGCCTCATTTTTTATACACTGTTGTTTAAGTTGGTGGTTCTGTGTTTTTTGTGTTGGCATGAACAGCGTCATCACACAGAGATTTTTGTTTTAGTATTTTTGGTTTCCCCTAAAAGCATCAAATGAAACAGCACAAACTGGTAGGTTTTGACTGTTCATTCTTGCATATTTTATAGTGTATTTAAGTCCACTCTTTGTATTAAATATTACTATAATCAAAATTCAATGATTCTCTGTTASTTTCAAATAATCTTGGTGTTTTATTGCTGCTTTTCTTCTAAGCTTGTGGATTCAGACTGTGGATTGTTGCATTTAACCAGATTCCTACACAGTGACATCTTGTGGTTTACTAAACTTACAGCATGTATTTTAGCCTGCACTACAATCTGCTGCTGGTGGTATAGTTTCAGTCCCATGTTGGCAATAAAAGCAAAAATAAAAAAATAAAAAAAGCCTTAATGGCTTTTGTAAACCTATCCTGTACTTCAGAGGAAGAGAAGAAAACTCGTAWATTATTTTGAGATTGTGAAATATCTGATAAAGCCCCCTCTCTGTAAATATTTATGTAGATGAAGTAAATTATTGATGTAAAACAAGGTACATTTTCCAATGAGAACAAGTTTCTGACTCTGATAATTTCAGCTGGCATTTTGTGGATTTTTTTTCTGTAGTTCTAGAGGTTTGAGTTATATAACTAGACTTAAAAAATGTTAACTATATTAATGTGACGAGGCAAATTATAAGGCTCAAATTTTAAAAGTAGCTTGATTGGATTTGGGATGTGCAGGGACTGTTTTAGTTTATGTGATAATCTAAGTGCAAATTCAAATTTCCTAATAAAACACAGCAATTTCAAGGTATTAGTAAATTAGCAAGAAAATGATAAATAATATATTTCATGTATTCACTGTGGCACCAAATTAAAGATGTTTGCACTGGTTGCCTTTCAGGTAAATACATCGCTGCTACTCAGCGACCTGATGGGACATGGAGGAAGCCAAGACGTGTGAAGGATGGYTACGTGCCCCAGGAGGAGGTCCCCGTGTGAGTACGACAGCAGCATGATGGATCAGTGGTTAGCACTGACGCCTCACAGCAAGAAGGTCCTGGGTTCAATCCCCAGTTTGGAACCGGTGTTTGCATGTTGTGGGTTTTCATTGGGTACACCAACCAAAAACATGTATGTTGCACTCAGGCCCAGGCCGCCTTTTTAAAAGACATCTGTGATCTCAGTGGGATTTGCCTGGTTAAATGAAGGTTAATAAATAAATTAACAAAATAATAAAGTTCACCTTTTTTTAAATTTCGAAACTTTAAACTCACGGTAATGATAAACTGTTTTCATAGAAACAAGTTCATGTGTCACTGCAATCCATTGTTTTGCCAATAATTGTTAGAAATATTGCAACCTGCACTTCAAATATTTTGGTATAATAACTCTTTTTTTTCTTTAGAATACTAGTCAACGTACAYTGTTACCAGTGGTGGGCAGCTCTAATTTAAATTTTAGTTGCGCAGTTTCTAAAGTGCTAGTCAATTTGTTTAGGTCCCCAAGTTCAAAAGCACATATGATCAATAAAACTTAGCAGAAGCWAATTTTAAAGCRCAACATAAACTCTGTTCACCAGAAAACATGCAGGTAAGAGTAAAGCGCTTTATTACCATCTAATGGCGAGATTATTTTTCTTTGACAGGTTGGCACATATCGGCGCAGAATGGGGAGGTGATTTGTAGAAACAGACTTTTAAATCATGGTTGTAAAACAAAAAATAGTTGTGGATTGCGATATCTCCTGCTTCTTGGTCAATTTCTTATGCTTATGGCAGGGCTTCAGTAAGAAAACATGCAGATATATTAGTGATTTTAAACTGTTTGTTGTAAAACTGAAGCAATGCATTCTGGGTAGGCTACTGGACACAGAACAATAACTCTGTTCTTTTCAAAATAAGAGCGTGAATTTAAACTGTTCCGTGTTTCTTTCTTTACTATTATTTATTTAATATTTATTGCCGCGGTGTCTCTCGGAGAGAGGAGGTAAAAACTGCACAGCTGAGTGTGGTTCTGCAGATCAGAACCGCAGGTGGATTGTCACCCAATGAAGAACCTGCAATTGCTTCCTGCCACGTAAAGAATTGTGGGAACACTACAGTCTCTACTAAGTGAAAAATAAACTGTCACCAAGAAGAGTCAGAAATCAGAGTATAAAGCTCTGTGAACGCGATGCTGACTGAGGTGTCACTGTTTCTTCACATGGGAGGTCTGCTGTGTTAAGTAGAGATGGCTTTCCCCTTCATTGTTCAAGAAAATGATGAAGTTTTAATGAATTATGTGGTTACTAAATGTAATGAGACTAGACGGCTCTTTCTCTTTGCTTTAGACGAAAATGACGTTTGAATGTGAAACATTATTTGTGATTAGCGCTACTCAATTTTAAATTTAGAAAGTGCTAATCATTTTAAGAAATTAGTAAAAACCCTAAAGCTCAAAGGAGAAATTTAGGTCTGCAGTTAGCACATTTGTGCTTTTAGACTAGTGCCCACCATTGACTGTTACAAGAAATTGTTGCTCTCTAGACTAGGCTGCTAGAATTACTTTAAAGCAGGGTCCTGAGAGTATGCATAAACCAACTTAATTATATCTTTAATATTAGCAACAAATTTCCTTAAATAAAAGCCATTAGTGGTGAAGTAGCCTAAGTCAGTGCTGTGGTCTCATAATCCTTGCGTGGTTGCATCAGAGAAGGCATCCGGCGTAAAAYGATCACCGCATCTTCCATGCAGGTTTGCTTGTAGTAACTCCTGCGGGAGGGACCGACCAAAGGCACTCAGGTTTCTGCTGTCACTAAGTAGGAATTTCTTATTTTGTGGGATGAGTTGGCCCTATCTGATTGGTCAGATTGACAGTTGGGTTTGAAGAAGCTGGGGGCAGCTGGGTGTAGCTTGGTCGAATTGACCAGGATGCATCTATATTTATAGAGATTATTTTAATCATAACTTGATAAAGTGTTAGCCCCGATGCTATCACCATATATATGTAGCTCAGCGCTACACCTTCTCTTCTCGTCACTGAGGTCCTCCATCACATGACAGAGAGGGGAACGCAAAAAGTGACTCAGCCTGCAACTGAAAATATGGATAAGGACCTCAGTTTAGCTTGTTTGTCGCGGTAGCACCGAGCTAATACATAAGGCAATACAGCGTCGGCGTTAAATCTAAAGCTAACAGGCTAAGCAGAGGTTCTTCTTCCATGAAGCAGCTCTGTTGTCCTCCATCTATATTTTCAGTTACAGGCTGAGTCATTTCTACCTTCTCCTC